CACCCAGGAAACAATGTAAGAGCCAATTAACCTTTAATGCAAAGTGTAAACACCTGTCTTAGCAGGGCTGTGAAAAATGGCATCACATTCACCCTTCAAGGCCTCCAAAGCCACCTGCTCAAGGTGCTGGTTGAGAGGTGACCACAGCCTGAAGGCTGCAGGCTGTAAGAGAAAGCCCAGTGCTTTCCATCACTGGAAGCTGGAATGATCCTTGTGCTTCCCATGCCCCAGGGAAGGACCTGGAGGCACCAGGAGGGTCTCCAGCCACTGCAGCCTGCCCTGAGTACAAGCATGAGGAGCCAGAAGTCCCAGGACCTGGAGGCACCAGGAGGGTCTCCACTGCAGCCTGCCCTGAGTACAAGCATGAGGAGCCAGAAGTCCATTTGGATCCTTCGCACAGAGAGCCAAGACTTCAGTTCATTACATATGCTACACATCAAAAAGCATCCAAGACAACCCCATCTCAAACATCCTCCTGCACAAAGTACACTCCAAGTACTCCAGTGCACTCCAGCACAGACCCTTGCTACTCCTACACTGAGAACACCTGGAGATGAAGAGCTCTAAGATCAAGTAGCCAAGACTTCAAGACTAATTTTGGTCCTCTTAACTAAACTCTTCACTTTTACCATTTTAAGAGCAGGCAAGAAGTTTCAATCCCTCTTTAAAGAAGAATGCCAACTGATCCCTGATTATATGAGGAAGACAGGAGCTCCATGAGACAGCAGGACACAAGCTTTTGGCAGTAACTGCCCTCTCCATCTGTGGGATAACCCAAGCAATGAATTTACTTTCCAAAAGGACACCAGCAATGCCACGGCTGAGGCTTTAGGACAGGAAAGCAAGACACCAGAATGGCCATTTTGTTGAGCTTTGCTGTATTCTGGGAGCTTTGTTTTTAAATTCATTGCAGCAGCTGGCCCACCACTGACCTGAAACTCTTTTGGAAAACAAATAATATCTTCACAGTGGAGAAGCATCTGGATGTAAAGAAAAAAGTGTCACAGCTTCCTATTTACAGCACTGCAATTGTAGAGCACAAGCCCACAGAATATGCACAGACTTCCAGATGGAGAGAGGGACAGGACTGATTACATACAATTATTAATGCGTGTCCCTACACCACTGGACAAAAAGAACTGAATGTGCTTAGGAAGAAACAAAGCAGTGAAAAATAAAATGACTACCCATTGAAGTATTTGTGCAACACTGGCATGACACCTTAGGGAAATAAATATTTGCTTGACCTATTTCCAAAAGAGAAGTTTTTTATAAGTCCCATGAAAACCTCTTTATTTACTGAGGCATGAGAGCAGAGCATTTGCAAGCATCCCGCACACCGAGCCATGTTCCAGGAGCAACTGACTCCCTTCTTATCCTTCCCAGAGGAGCAAACTTTACACCAGTGGGGCAAAATCAGCCTGAAAACAACATCAAGGCACTTCTTCAGGAGAAGAAGAGTTAAACAACACCGACACAAATAGCAATGAGCCACCTTGCCCCACTGGAAGCTGCTTTCTACTGATCCATCTGCCTGTTGCTCAGTGAATTTTTGAGTGCTCACACTTCAAACCTGTGCCACCCAGGCTCTTCATTGAGGAGCCAGGCACTAGAGCTCATTCCCTCACCCTAGTCCTGACTCTCAAGCATCTCTGTATTAAAATTAAATAATAATTTTTAAAAAGCTTTTCCCCTTTCCCCCCAAGCAGCCCAGCAGGCAGGGAAGCCCCATCACCCAGACTGAATTTTCTGAGTATTACTGGGCAGGAGTGTGGGTGGAGCTATAATGGAAACTTTTGCAACCTCAACACCATGTTATTTCATTTTTTTTCCCCAAGCAAGTGCTAAAACACATGAGGGACCTGGCTGGAAGAGCAAGGGCAGCACTCGCCTGCAGTAGGAGGGACCTTACAGATGCCATGACTGCAACTGGACACACAGTTTAGAAGGCTCATTGTCCAATTTTTCTATTTCTAATTAAAAAAAAAAAGGTAGGAATAAGAGGTGAAGAGCACACAGATCAAAGGGAGTCCAGATAAATGTCCCCTTATTGTGCCTGTAGAACAAGAAGAGGGCACCCTCATAGTGTCCCTCTGAATGGGCAGAGGAAAGAGAAACCACAAAGCCTTTGAAGGACGTGAGAGCATCCTCCACGTGGAGATGAGCCACGGCTGCCATGGCTGTGACTGCTCTGGTGACAACCCAGCTGCCTGGGCTCTGCTCTTGTGCCACGTGTCATCACCAGCTCCTGAGCTCCACCACAGTCCACCCCAAGCAGGCCTTCCCAGGCACTTCAGCAAGCTCGCTCCATTTGCATTTTAAGCATTGTTATTTAGAACATTTGTCAAAAGGAAAAAAAAAAAAGAAAGAGAAAAAGCAAACAAACAAAGGAGGGAAGAAGCACAAGACTTCTTCCTTTATAATTAGAAGCATCACCCCACTCTACAGAAGCAGAAGAGTCATCACAGCTGCCGGAGGGAGCGAGGCTGCTGACCTTCAGCACAAAGACCATCAGGCACCAGCAAGCAGGACCTTCTCCAAAACAGCCTCCATGGCAGGGCTAGACTCATTCCACCTGCAGCAGGTGTTTTAGTTATTGACATAATCCTCCTGATCTCTTATGGAGTTAATGCAAAGAGACAGACAACTCAGCATGATTCTGTGTCTGCAGGGGGAAAATCACCCTTAGGATGAGCAGGGTGGGGGGAACCTGGACCTGGCTCTGGGCTCCTGCAATCCCAACAAAATCCCTCTATTCCAGGGTGACCCCAGCCCCCTGCAAGAATGAGGAAAACGATAATTTACATTAGCTGTGAGCAAACCAAGGACCTCTCCATGGGGTGAACCTCCCTCATGCTTTTTTTACATGCAAATGAGGTGGAAAACCAGAAAGGAATAATAATATCAGGCAAGGGAAGCAAGGGACCCATTGGAGCAACAAGCCAGCCCTAGGGGGGTTAACTTGCACAAGCCGGGGGGGCTGAGCAGGATGGGGGGAGATGTCTGCTCCCCCCTTCTGCCTTTTGTTTGCACAGGTTTCTACAGACTCCCAGTTGTTTGTCTCCATTCCCAACAGTTTTCAGGGGGAGCTGATGCCCTGTCTGCCGTCAGCCCAGTCGCTGGAGGGAATGAATGTGAGCGGGTCTTGCAGGGCTCACCACAGCCCAGATGTTGTCCCACATTCAGGAATAGCAAGAGATGCACCTGTGTGGTAGCCTGGCACAAAGCAGCGGGATCCTGGTGCCCAGAAACCTGGGGCAGGTGCCGTGGGACCAAGGCACAGCCGTGCCCTGCAGAAACGCTGCCTCCAGACCTGTCCCACCACACAGACAGGGAAAGGCTGCACAAGGCACGGACACAGGCCCGTGTCGCCGGGCTGGACTGCAAACCCAAGGTGCAGATAATTCCAGGAGCCACAAGACGAGCTGTTTTTACATAGTAGCACCATAGTAACCAAAGCAGAGGGAAAAGCTGGCATACACCAGGGGACAGCCTTTTTGGAGAGGAGGAGCAGGAGGGAGGTCTAAATAGAAGGAAAACCCTGCAGAGCAAGGAGACACACTTACATAAAGGAGAACTGGAGGCACACTGCTGTTGAAATCTCCCCACGCTGACAACCCAGATGGCTCTCAGTACCAGCCTGGCTCACCTGCTCCAGGCTGTGAGCACCGCCTGCATCCAGCCCTGTGCCTCCCCGATGAAAGCCAGCAGTCCCCATGGGGCTGGTTTCACTTGGCTTTACAACAAGGAATTTATTGATAGCGATGTGCTCCCACGAGTGACTTCAGGGCTTCAAGTTACTACAGCTTTTCTACAGTAGCAAGAATTGCGGAGGCTGAGCCCTGTCAGAAAAACCTATGCTAAACCCCAACCCATCTATAATATAATTAACACCAGCTACAGATTCGGCTGTATCTGAAGCAAATCAGATCCAACAGCCTCCTCTTTCCCTCCCCCAAAGGTGGGTCAGGACTCCAGAACTGTGTGGGCATCTGTGTGCTGTGAGTTACTGGGATGCACTAAGAGGAAACAATAAACAGACTGGAACAGTCTGCTCCCTCTTCTCAGCTACGTTGTAAAATACATCAAGGTCACAGACCCAACCTAGTTAATAGAAGTTATCATTAAATTGCTGTTTTCTTTTACGGTAAATAAAACGCATCTGAGCATCTGGGTGGTTTTCCCTTCCTCTTCATCTCTTAAAGAGAGATTAGTTTAGAATAAGCTGTTCCAGATAATGAAGTAAACTTCTGGCTTCCTATCCATGGAGAAGTGCTCCTCAGGACACTATGATCCTTGTTTGGGGACTGCAGCCAGAATAGGTGGTTGGAGAGAAGAGCAGGGAAATCCTCCCTGTGCAACTGGAGCCACCCTACAGCACTGTGCAGAGAGAAAGCCCAAGGCTGGCTGGGCAGAGTTCATGCCTTTAGTGGGCAGAAATGGGAAAAAACAGACCAAGAAAGGCTTGTATATGAGATGTTCAAGGTATGTCGCATGGCCTTACAAGACACATCACCTACCACTCTCCCAAAAGCTTCCCACCAGGTAATCAGAGTAGCAGAGAACTCCTTTGAAAAATCGTATTCTCTGAGATTTGGGGGTGCAACAAAGCGTGCCCTGAGCAGCACGATGGGGCACTTCTCACACAGGCCAGCGTGCCAAGCCAATGTGACACCCGAGCGGCACAAACCCAGTCTCCACCTTGGACCCACATCCTATCCAAAGGGCCATCCCTGCTCCAAATCCACCTCTGGCAGCGGAGAGGCCTCGCTCTGCTGGCACCTGGCCCCACGCCCGCCTGCCCCCGCAGGAGCCCTGCCTGGGAGCTGGCACAGCCCGGGCAGGACTTTACCCGGCAGCCCGGAGTGCGAGGTTAAACCACTGTCCCCAGCCAGGCAAGCAAAGCACCGAGCGGGAAATGTGGGGTTTAGTCCCGGCTCCGCCGCAGATTTCCTGTGCGGCCTCGGGCTCGTCACTCAGCGGCCGCTCAGCTTTCCTACCTGTGAGCAGGGAGATGCCGTCTGCTCTCATCCCGGTTTGTCCCGAGCAGCGGCACTTTAAACCTGGCACTGCCGCAACACCCACAGCTCCAAAATTCCCCACTGCGAGCAACCCTCCAAGCCCCGGCTGCGACACGAGTGGGGTCTGCTGCCCGCAGAGCGAGCAGCTAGTGAGGGCTAGAAAAAAGCACTTTTCTTCCTCTAAAAACCCAGACTAAAAAACAACCCAGACCAGCCGGGGGAGAGGGGTTCCGAGCCGCCCCACGCAGCCGAGTGGGTCCCGGGCCGCCCCACGCCGCCGGGTGCTCACGCCGCGCTCCCACAGCGGCGGGACCCGATTTCTAACTGGGTTTATTTCAATTTTAATTGCGGGCGAGCCCAGGGCAGCGCGGCCCCGGCGGGCGCGACACACACCGGCATCAGCCGGGCTCCATCGCCGGGCGGGGGGGCGCTGACGTCACCGCAGCCGGCCGGAGCGCGCGTGCGCGCGGGGGACACCCGGGTGGGTCGGGGCAGTCCCGGGACCGGCACCGGGACTGGGATCGGGGTTGGTCACCGGGACTGGGATCTAGACAGGGATCGGGACTGGGCACCGAAACTGGGATCTGGACGGGTCACCGGGACTGGTCACCGGGTCTGGGATCTGGGATCGGGGTTGGTCACTGGGTCTGGGATATGGACCGGGATCGGGACTGATCACCGGGACTGGGATCGGGGTTGGTCACTGGGTCTGGGATCGGAACTGGGATCGGGTCTGGTCACCGGGAGTGGGATCTGGACCGGGATCGGGATCGGTCACCGGGACTGGGATCTGGGATCTGGACCGGGATCGGTCAGCGGGACTGGAGTCTGGACAGGGCACCGAAACTGGGATCTGGAACGGGATCGGTCAGCGGGACTGGGATCTGGACCGGGACCGGGCACCGGGGCGTGCGGCGAGCGCCTGCACCGGGCTTTGCCCCGAGTGCTCGCAGCAGCCCCCGGGCGCCCGAGGGGTGCGCGTCCCGGGGAGCAGCCCCGAACACGCGGAGGGTGCTGCGGAGCGTGCGGCCGGGGCCGGGCCCGGCGCGGAGCACACCGGCCCCGCTGTTCCCCCCGCTCCCGCAGGGAGCTGACCCGGCCCAGAGGGTGACCAGTGCGCTCGGTCCGCGGTCTCGGTCAGCGTTGTCAGGAACCGCGGGCGGCTCGGGGCGGGCAGCCCTGCATGGGTGGTTGGTGGCTGGAAGCCCCCAGAGCCTTCCCTTTCCCAGCCGCTGTCCCCCGGCCGGTGGGGCTGTTCCAGGACGGGAAGCTGCTGCGGGCGGGGGGCTCAGGGGTGAGCTGGACCCCAGAGCTGCTGTCTGCCCCCCGGCACTCCCCGGGCTGGAGAGGTGCTTGGGGTGCCCAAACCGCTGCACCCCAAGGCTTTGGTAGCGTCACTCCCGCCTGCTGTGAGCAGGTCAGGAATGAACCGAGCACCAACTAGTTCCTTTAAATAAAGTGTGTCTTGGAAAGATCTTGTCTTGAAATCAGACACCAGCTTTGGACAAAAGATAAAAGATTTTCCAGTTGCCTAAATGTGCACATTATCTCACTTTTCCTGGATTTGGAGCTGATGGTCAGACTCTGCTCACAGTTACACTGATGTAAATATATCACTTATCTAAAGCTACTGGCTTTAGAGTGCGTGTCCTGGCTGGATTGTTGGGAGCTGGGACACAAAAGCTGAGGGCTCTCAGTTCAGAGACTTCATTTTTCAGGACTGTGTTTTCCTCAGGGCTCTCCGCTCTCCCAGTTTGAGGGTATTGCTGGATTTCTCTGCAAGCCCTGGCTCTTGGAGCCACACAACTGCGTGGGATTTGCAGCTTTCTGGGGGTTTTTTATTAAGTAAGCTTGAACCCTTTGTGTTTACAGAAGAAATGTGAACTTCCAACAGGTCAGAAATTAGGAGCCAAATCAGCAGAACATGTTTTTAAACCAGAGTGGACGGTTTCAACCAGTCCTGCTGCTGTAATTCAGCTTTTTCAATGCTTGTGATTGGGGACTGAGGATGGCATTTCCTCCTCTTCAGGCAAAATGGCTTTCCCACCCACTCCATCGCATGCCAGGCCAGTCTGACTTGATCTTTCTGGGAATGGGAATGAAAAAACAAAACCAACAACGCTGTTTTCCTGTTGTATTCCTGACTCCAGAGCTGGTATCCAGAACAGCTGGACTTTCAGGAGTTGTCCCCATGCCTGAGGGAGTAGGACACCTGAGCCTTGCTCCCCATGGCTTTCACAGGATGGGAATTTGACCCCATCCAGCTGTGCTGACTTGGTGTTTCTGCATCTCCTCTCATCCTGTTTTGCTGAATCACTCCTTTCACAAGCCTCTGGAGCTCTTTGTTGATCCAGGAAAGGAAATGGGAGCCCCAGCCCAGTCAGCTGAGGGTCAGGAAGCTCTGCCAACCTTCCTGAAGCTCCCCCTCCTCTTAAAATGCTGATTCTCCCTGCTGGGAGAAGGGGCCATGATAATGAGAAAGCCCTTTCACATCCCAGTGTCTGGCAGGGATTCCCCGGAGGGTCACAGCAGAGGAATGTCAGTCAGGGCTGAAAACTCGGCCAGCAGCAGGCAGCTGCTCCTGGGAGCTGCCTGGCACAAGGACCTTGGACCTGCTGGCTTGATTGACTGCTGTCACCCAGCCCCACGGCTCTGGCCACCCTCACCAGACCCGTGGTGCCTGCAGTGCTCAGTGCACAGCACTCGGGAAAAGGCATCCTTACAGGAAAAGGCATCCTTACAGCCGTGCCTCAGCCTGCCTGGCTGCTGCCTGGATTTTGCCAGCATCTCAGGAAAGCCCCATCTCACCAGACCCGTGGTGCCTGCAGCATCCTGCTCAGTGCACAGCACTCGGGAAAAGGCATCCTTACAGGAAAAGGCATCCTTACAGCCGTGCCTCAGCCTGCCTGGCTGCTGCCTGGATTTTGCCAGCATCTCAGGAAAGCCCCATGTGAAGGGGACACTGGTGAAGGTAAAGACAGCAGAGGCAGGCTAGTGGTCATCAGAGGATTGTGCCACAGAACAGTGGCACAGAAAGGTTCAGAAAAGAGCCAGGCTAGTGGTCATCAGAGGATTGTGCCACAGAACAGTGAGGTTCTGGAGCATCCTTCTGGTGTGGGAAAGGAAACAGGAGAACACTGCTTCCTGGCTCTGGGGTGAAAAGAGGATTCAGATGCTGCAGGAGTTTGCAGTGTGGGCTTCCAGCTATCAAATAGTACTGGTGTCCCCAGCTACTGGCTGAGCCCCACAGCTGGGGGGATTTCTCCTGTTCCAGCCCCAGCTTTGCTTGTCTGAAAAGCAAAGACCCTTTTTTAGTCAGCTTGGCTCCCCTCCTGTCCTCTGCAGCATCTCTGGGAGCTGAGCTGTGTCGGGTCTCAGCCAGCTCCTCGAGTCTGCCTCACTGCTGGATTCTCTGACCTCCCTGCAGACATTTCAGGCCTGTGAAAAGGCATGGAGCAAGGCAGGATCCAAGGAGATGCATCCCAGGCAGCTCAAATATTAAACAGCTGGGAAAATCCCAGAGAAATAATGTATTGGTCAAGAGAGGAGGCAAAGCCCTCATGAACTCCCACCTTGGAGGCAGGTGGAGAATTGGCTGTGACCTGGCTGGGCTGCAGCAGCTGTCAAAATGTGAAGAGGGGGAAGAAGAAGCCCATCTTTTTGACGCAGCTTGTCCACTCTCCCACCCTGTGAACAAAGACATAACTTGCTTTTTGGGAGGAAAATTTAGGAGGCTCCTGGGCAGTTTGTTGGTGCTCCCAACTGCAAAGCTGATGGATGGATGGATGGATGGATGGATGGATGGATGGATGGATGGATGGATGGATGGATGGATGGATGGAGTTTTCCTAGAGAAGCCCAGGATCTCAGGGTGTAGGGCTTTCAGCACAAGAGTCAGTGGAGGTATGGGCAGCCCACAAGGCAGAGGTGCCCCGTTAGGGGTGAAGGCTGCCATCCAGAAAGGATGGGGAGTGCTGGGATGCAGGACAAAAGCTGCCAGGTTGGATGTGCCTGTGAGCTTTTTGGAATGCAAGGAGCTGAAAATATTGCATCTCAGTTGACTAATAAAGAAATCTGTCTTGTTATGCAAAGGCTCATTGCAAACATCTGTGGGTTGTGGAGTTCCCAAAAGGGGAAAGAAACTTTTCCCTGATGGAACAGCTCCTGGGGGAGGATGCACAAAATTTGCAGAGAAATTGGGGGGTGCAGGGTTACAAGCACAAGGAGGGATGGATCTGCAAGGCTCACCTTCCAAAAAAGAGGAAAGGGGAGTAAGAGAAAGTATGAAAAGCAGCTGGCAGGAACCAAGGATGATTTTATGGCTTTGCAAAAAATTACCACAGCAATTAAAAGTGTTCTAAGCTCTTGGGAGGAGAAAGAAGGAAAGGAGAGGGAAGTAAAAGCCTGGATTGCAGGAAAGGATGCAGAGAGGAATAGCCATTACTCAGAACAGCCATGGTGCAGCTGGGGATCTGCTGCAGGGCCACGGGGGCACAAGCAAAGGTTGGTGTTTCAGGAACCAGGAATACAGATTGGTGGGGAAAACCAACTGGGCAAGGAGCCTTGGAGGTAAGTGATGGGGTCTGTACTTCTGCAGGGTTCCCAAGTGCCAGGAGCTCATCCCTGTGTCCAGGGGGTGGGGGCTTGGAGGCACAGCAAGGCTGAGCTGTCCGCTTGCTCCTGCTGGCATTTTGTTCCTTCTCCATGTTCATCTGAGGATGCACTCAGCTGGCTGAGGAAGAAATGGTGTCCTGTGCTCGGATGTCCTTTGCTGAATGTCTTCTGCAGCATTTTTTACCAATTATCAGGTATTTGCAGTCCTCCCAGTTAGCAGCCATCTGCATTGAAATCTGCATTGAAATGGGGGACTGCTTTTGTGTTCCAGCCCTGGGGTTTGTGTTACACGCTCAGGGCTTGCAGGATGTAACCTCCTGCCCTGGGTGGGACCCACTCCAGCGGAATCAGCAATCAGTCTAAGGAAATCACCTGAAATATCACACCCAAGCTGTCTTGATGGAGGTTCCAGCAGATTCCTCCCTGCTGGGCAGACGTGCCCAGTGACCTGGCCATGGGCTGTGGGGTTTGGTGGCAGCTGCCTGCCCTGCAGTGCCAGCCCACCCTCCTCAGGGACTGCAGCCATGCCAGGCCATCTACAATAGCTGCTTTCAGTCCAATTTCACTGAGGGCCAGAGCTCTCAGAAGACTAAGCTGCTGGAAAATAAGCTTCATTCTTCAGCAGATTTGCCACAGCCTTCAGGAAAGTTCCCATGTTGGGATCTTGTGCCCAGGCCATGCTTGGCACGGGACAGGCACAGAGAGGGTG